CAGTGCACTTCGTCAGTCTGCCTGTTCTGCTCCCCGCTCTGGTTCTAGTGAATTCTCTCACCCTCCCATGCTTCTGACTGTACCCAGTGCTCGTATGAATAAATAAATAAATCTTTTTTAAAAAATCTTGTTTCATCTAAGAATCAAAGTTCCTACTTTCATTTCCATTCCTTCCTCCTAAGATCTTCTGGAGCCAGGAACCCTGCCAGCCATTTCGACACCAAGCACCACTGAGCCCAAGGAAGTTCAGAGAGTGGATGGGGTTGGAAACGTGTGTCATATGTGCCTTCTGTCTGTCTGGAACATGCTTGATGCATCCCAAACACCTTCAGGTTGAATTTCAGTGAGTATTGAACAAAAATAATCATGTGGATAGGGCTGCAAGATTCCATGGTTACTGAGGGAGGAATATGATTGGGGCGGGCAGGAAGAGAAATAGCTTTGGGTGCAGAAAGAGAAACTGTCTGAAAAGTTCTTCTAAAAGGAGAAAGCAAGATACAGGAGTCTGGAGGATTCCAAGCCAGTGGCCAGGAAGGTGTGTCTAGAATAGCTATTGACACAGCAGGCAACTTGCTTTTCCCCTTCACCTCTGCCTGGCTGTGATCTCTGCAACTCCTGTCTCCCTCTTATGCTACCTCAGACAAGAGACAACATTCTCTCACATTCTGACCTTCCTTCCTGTGCTTGTCATCAACTTCTCTTTGGTTCTTCCTCCAATAATCACAAAGTAATTTTAATACCAATAATTTACTAGGGACCCATTAAGACAAATTTTACAAGTATCAGTCATCTCATTTGATCTTTACGTCATAGTTCATTTATATCTTATGGTGCCTTAGCTTTCCCCCTGAAGACATATGAAAAATATATATAACTTTAGAATTGAACTGATGTAATAGTGCTGGGCAAGAGAAATGATCAAAGCTATGTAATTTCTACTGAAGTATCTCATAAAATCAGAATGCTTCAGTTTATGAGGGGGTCGCCAGTTCTCACTGGAAGCCAGAAATCCATGAGGGGAAGAAAGAGGGCTTATAGAATAAACAACCCCAAATTCAGTGAGAAAGCTGCCAACTCTGCTTGGTAACTCCTGATAACTTTGTCTTAACACCATCCTGCAACTGGTGTGAAAAGTTAACGTGCAGACAAAACTCACATCAGAAGCATATCATGAAATGTTGCAGTAGAAGAATTATTTCTTGTGACCTAAGTAAATCCACAGCAAACACTTATAACTTCCCAGATGACTGGGACAAATTTACTTTCTTTTCTTGTAATTCATGTCCAAGTTGACTGAGATAATCTGAGACACTTAGATTAATGTCAAATAATTTTGCATTGTTTGTTTTGACATGTATATTGCATTACAACCATAATTACTCTAAATTCTGGATTTTGCAGTTATTTAATACCATGACTTCTCACTAATGGATTTTTTCTTCTATGTTGAATCTCTTCCACCAGATTACTTAGATGAAAATCTTCCTTTGAAATGAGACTTTTGCAAATGGTTTCCTTATGCTGTTAAACAGGCAGCTCTACCTTAGCTAGGCAAAGAATTTTTCTCAATATTATTCAATATTATTTTCCTCAATAGCCATTTTCTATAGCATTTGGAATCACACCCCCCTCTCCCCGCCCCGCAATAGATCTGAGGTCTTTCAAGGGTTTGTTCTGTTCTAAAATATGTACACAATTGGGAGTTAGCGCTGGCAATGACAAGATTCTTTGCCCAGTCTCCTGGCCAAAAATAAGTTTCCAGTGCTAGGCGTGATCACCTAGAGTGTTTGGTGGAGCACAGAAGTACCTTCCGAAATACCCATGGGCTTCCCTTCCAATCATCTCTTGCCGAGAGATGTTGTTCTACTGGCTTCTTTTCTGGGCCTCGTGTGGAAAACTCTTGCATTACATGTGGGAATCAACTGCTAGGTAGGTCCATCCTTCAGTCCATTCTCCTCTGAACTCTATCTTCCAGGAATGTGTTGGTAATTCTAACATATGAGTGACACCTTTCCCCTGTCTCCCTTGCTGACATACAATTTCTTGTTATTTCCATCAGTAATATATCCCCATACGATTGGGTCCTGTGGTAGCTATTCATGTCACACTGTCATGTTTCTCTTTTAGTTTCTCTATAGTTTGGGAGCATAATATAGAAAAAGAATGCTTTGTCTTCAGTTATCTTTATTTTTGGAAATCTTAGAGATTAGGAACACCAGGACAGGACCCAGACATCACCAAGTGTCTAGCACAAGCTTAACTTGCTTCCCAGAAAAAGGTACCCACAGGAAAACTGAAACCTTTAAACTAATGGCAGATGTTGCAGATGTTATAGGAAGCATTGTTTTCCGGGTACCCAAATTTCTAGATGAATAGGAGAAGGAATCCATCTCTCACCTGCATGTCTGACAGCGTGTAGATGAAGCACCCATCTAAGACAGTAGGCACTAAACAAATATGTGGTGAAAAATGTCTGGCTGGCTGACTCGCTGAAAGACTGGATTTTTCACTTCTCATCCAGATGTTTTGGCTTCATGGAGGCCCTGGCAGAGTCTGCCAAGCTGATTTGTGATCTCTGAGTGAAGGGTGATCCATGAGCACGGAGCATTATACCGGCAAATGAGTACACGGCTCCGTTGTATGTGAAATGAGGTCTCCCCGGCTGCCACCAAGGCGTGTGACAGACCTGCCTGTCCACTTCCAAGTGCCTCTGACAGACGAGCCCCCCATTTGCATACATCTCATGATGACACATGCTGAAACTGTTAAGTTATTATTAGTACTGATAATGGACTCTTCCCCAGGAACGTATTCATAGTTCTAATGTTGTCACTGCAGATTGTTTTGCTGTTAAGGAGAAAGCCTATGAGGCATAAATATTTATGTCTGGATGGATGTCAGATTCTTTAATCAGGAACTGGATTGGTTCTAATTGAATCTTGGGACATATTTAGGCGCAGTGTTGCTGGTGTGGCTTTGGGCTCCATGTGAGCAGAGGCCCCTCACATCCCCCGCAGGGCTCCTGAGAGTGGTGCCTCTCTTAGATGTGTAGGTAGCTTTTCTCTTAAGCGGTGCTGGAAACTTAGCTGCACTGGGGAGAAAGCCTTTTGGAGGAGAATGACAGGGCTTTCCAGGACCAGATAAAGGAACTGTCACTGTCTAGAGCTGGCTTCCCAAAGGCATTTTACAAAGAGAACTTAATTCAAGCAGGCATGAGACTGCAATTTCCATAAAGACAGAGAAAGGTGACCCCCATGTGTGTGGGGTCAATCAACATACTGATGGTGAGAGGTAAAGCCGTCAACTCTCACTCCCACGTGCAGCACCCTTGGGAGGCTGGCTGCCTGCACCTTTCAGAACAGACTTTTGTTAATTCCCAAGTTCAGCGGAGCCTCGAAGAACTCAAACTTGGAGCCAGATCAGCTGGGTTCAGTGTCGGCTTTGCGGTTTCCCAGCTGAGCACACTTGGGCACATCATTCCTTCTCTTTGGCCAGGTTTCCTGTCCTCGTAGGAAGGGAACACTGTTGTGATGTAGGAACTAACATTCAGCGGACACTTCCACAGGCCAGGTACCCTTGCAGGTGTTCTACAGGTGCTCTTTCGCTTAATCCCAGGAAGCAGATGTGAGCACTAGCTCCCTTCTGCAGATGCGGAAATTGTGTGTCAGATCTTGGGCTCAGCAATTATAAAAAGGTGAAGATGGGGCCTCCCTGGTGGTGCAAGGGTTATAGTCTCTGTGCTATCAAGCTATCACCAGCCACTGCAGCATGATTTTGATCCCTGACCAGAGAGCTGACCCACATGGTACAGCAGACCTCTCCTGTCTCCCGCTGCTCCCCTCAACAGTGTATTTCGGTAGATCCACCTGTTCTGCTCCCCACTCTGTCCCTGGTGAGTCCTCTCAACCCCTGAACCTCTGGCCTACAGCCCGGTTCTTGTATGCATAAATAAATAAAAATAAATCTTCCAAATAAATTATTTAAAAAAAGGTGAAGATGAAGAAAAAACAACCCAGGTCTTCACAGTCCAGTGGGGTGTAGACAGGGGAGAAAGAACCCCACCCAGCAGGGAAAGGCTGGCCAAGTGCAGGAAATTGGAAGGGACCTGAGGCAGCACCTGTGGCAGGTGGTGAGCCTATGTCCTGGGGAGGAGGAGCCACAGGGGGGCCTTGAGCTGTTGTGAGGCTCACAGAGGCTGCCTGTCTCACAGCAGTACTGGTGAAGTCCTTGAGGCAGGCAGGTCAGTGAAACAGAAAACTGGGCATTTCAATTTAGGCACTTGAGGGCTCAATGTCAACCTGGCCACTTTCTTTATTAGCATCCTGGTTATCTGTATGAGGAACAGAATGTGTTGCCCTGATGATTAAAATAAAAAGACCAGCAACAAAGTGCTGGCAAGAGCATAGAGAAAAAAGACTTCTCTCATACTGTCAGTGGGGATGTAGGCTGGTCTAGCTCTTATGGAAAGCTGTGTGGAGGTTCTGCAAAAGACTGAAAATGGACTTACCCGATGACCCAACAATTCTACTCCTAGGGATCTACCTAAAGAACACAAAAACACTAATTCAAAAGGAAACTGCTCTCCTATGTTTATTGCAGCACTATTTGTAATAGCCAAGACATGGGAAAAACCCATTTACCCCCAAACAGATGAGTGGATCAGGAGGATGTGGTATATACATACACAATGGAGTACTACTCAGCAATCAAAAAGATAAACTTATGCCATTTGCAGCAACATGATTGCAGCTCAGTGAAATAATCCAGAAAGAGAAAGATTAAATATGGATGGTTTTATTATTTACATGGAATATGAAAAACCATGAAAAAATAAATAAAAGTAAATAAAAAACTATGTGTGTGAGGCACATGGTAAGTGCTCAGTAAATGCCCTGCCCTTGGCACTGGGCTACCTTTGTGATGCAGGGAACAGGCAGCATCATGATAGTCAGGGGACAAACAGGGGTGGCAGAAGCCAGTGCTGCCTTTGCACTGAAAGACCTGGACTACCTCGTGTTTATCAAGTTGTGCTGAATTGTCATCGGTCTCCAGCAGTCCGGTTGGAGACCAGGTGAACTATTTGAAGTCTCTTTCTCCAATTTCTTCAGTGCCAGCTGCAGAACCTGGTGCCTCAATGGTGCCCAATTAAGGTTTGTTGCTGAATGCAGGGGTGGATGGGGAGCAACTGGGCTGACAGCCAGGAGGTAGGTGATAAAGTAAGAGATCCCCAGAGAGGAAATTGGCCTTTAGATCTGGTGAGTTCAGCCTCCTAAGAAAGCTAGTCTCCCTAAATGGCCTTGAGGAGGACATCCAAATAAAGCAGAGGACATCCCTAAATGCCAGTCCATCCGCCGAAGGGGCCTGAAACTAAGCTGGTTGGCTTGGTCCACTTGAGGTGAAGCTATTTCATGAAGGTTAAGAACCAAGAAAGTCAAGGCCTCTCCCTATCAGGAGAAAAGAATTTCCAACACCCCAGATACCCCAGATAAGACTCATCGCATGACAAAAATATGCCATAACCCATATCAGACCCCAAAGGACACCGGTACTTTTCCCATCATTTAGCCATTTTGGGGGTGAGACTTTAAAAAAGCATTTTCAGAAGGCACATCATGTGCACTTTCAGATAAAAAGAAAATAAAACAAAGCCCTGAAGACAAGATGCCTGAACACACACTTAGAAGCAAACTGACCTTTGGGCTGGTGGTACCCTTGGGCGGCCCCTCCAGGTGCTCCCTCCCCGCTGACATCACAGCTGGGGCACTCAGAGCTGGGCAGGAAGAGATGCTTGCTGCTTCTCCTCATTTCCCAGCCCTTTGGTGCTCCCAGATGTTTTAATTACAGAGGAAAGGGAGCGGATGATTCTGGCCATATGTCTCCATTCCACACAAATAAATCTCCTCGGCGTCCCGCGCAGCTCTGTGGCATCGCGACTGTCCCACCGAAACTGATGCTGTCGGGCCTAATCACCATCTTCAACCCTTCAGTGAGCATGTTAATTCAGGGAACACCGGCTGGGCTGCTGTCCCAGGGAAATACTCAATCTAGAAACAATTAGGCTCATGTGGCAGCGAGATGCAGCCCCCTCCTCTGGGGAGCTGGGTGCTCACTCCGCCTGAGCAGGGCAAGCCCACCCAGTATGGAGCCAGAGGAGCACGCAGCACAGGGTCAGGACACAGCTCGAGAGTTTTCTGCTGGGACTTGGGCAGCACCAGCAACACCGAGAAACTCATGCATTAGGCCAGATTTATGGTATGCCCGTGGCAGAAATACCCTGTCCCCTAGGACTTTGGGAAGGACTCTAAGGAGACATCACACACACACACACACACACACGCTCACTCACTCACTCACTCACACTCACGCACAATTTACAGTGAGTTTTACTGAGGAAGTAGCAAAAGCTGACAGACGTATTTAGCATCTGACTCACTTTCACCAAATGCTAAATTTGCTTTACATCCGGGCATCGCCATGCAGAGATTAAGGAGGATGAACTCAGAAAAGTTGTATATGGTTTCTGGTTACCAGTATGGTTCTCTGTTTTCTACAGTGCTGTAGTGCCAAGGAGTAAATATCCAGAGACTGATGTTTTCCAAGTGTATCACATGCCGTAATGGAGCACGCGCATCTTCAGAGAACATCTGATGAGGTGCTAAAGTGTCTGGTCCCAGGTATGACCCTCTCAGATCAGGGTATGAGCACAGCCGGCACCCTAAGGCTTTTCTCCCACCCTTTTCCAGTCAACATTCACCCCAAAGGGAACAAGTGGTCTGACTACTCTTCTTGGGTGGGTTTTGCCCCTTTCTGGTTTACCTGTAGATGGAATCATCACAGAGTCCTTGGCAGGTGCTTCTGCCATTTGCTGTGTGAAGCCATAGTTCTCTCTCACTAGCTGCGTACATCTCATTTGAAAACACCACACTGCATTCTACTAAGGGTGGGTGTTGGGATGATTCTGATCAAAGCTGTTGCTAGGTAAGTTTTTCACATGTGCATTCATTTCCTGTGGGCATAGACCCCATATTTCAACAGTTTTCAGAGGATGTTTTTACTCCTTACTTGCTGAGATCCATTGTTTGGTAGTTATAGGAAGGTTAAGGGAGTGATTCGCAGGCAAGGATGCCATTTGTTACATTCAGAAAACAGGCAGAGTTGCTCTGAGCAGGTACCTCCAAACACTGGTGGCCTCTCCATAGTTACAAGTGGTCCAAGTATTTTGAGAGGTTTTTTTCCTAAAATCCCCTGCCACTCCACCCCATATCACCCCTTGTCCCTTGACCTGCAGGGCCCCAGGTGCTTTGCATGAATGGTGAACCATAAGCATATCCAGTCGCAGGAGATGTGGAGCTATCCCCCACAGTGTTACCTGTGGCTTGGGCAGGTGGGTACCCAGTATTCTGATGATAGGCAGTGACATAGGGGCCACTCACGACAGCTGAGATGCTATTTCCTCCAGTTGTACTATCTGTGTTTGGTCCAGGTAGGCCCCACTAATGGAAATTAGGAACACCAGGTCCTGCAATTGTCGGACTACTGTTGTCCCCAACAGAGTATTGGAAAGATGGGTTCCATGTGTGGGGGACATATGTGCAAGTAGCAGCGTGTTTACGCTTTGGAGTGGGGCTGGCATTTGAGACCACAGTGGGTGCAGTATGGCTAGGTGAGCCCCAGTTGTAATAATCAGAGTTGGAAGCAGACTTGCCTCTTGTCCCATATGTTTTGTTTGTGGTGGGAGTTGCTCCAGGTGTAGGATATATTCTTTCTCCAGCAGGGCCCAAGATGTTCTGATGGAAATTGGGATCACTGGGGTCTCCAACCATGGGAATGGTGCTGTCATTCCCTGTCTTGCCACTCATATTTTGGAAAATTGAATTCCACATGTACCAATCATAAGTAGAAGCAGACATGTCTCTTGTCATATATGTTTTGTCTGTGGTAATGTTTTTTCCAGCTATAGGAATGGGGTTGTCATTTCCTGTCTTGTTATGTGTGTTTTGCATCATAGGTTGGTTCCAGGTGCTTGGATTTACAGTGGATCCATAAGTGTGTGCAAATGCAGACATATCTCTGTATTGTCCTACCATAGTTGTACTAAAGTTAGATGGATCCTGAGTGATAAGAGAAGGAACAAAGGCAGGCTGGATGCCCTTCTTTTTCCTACTCTACAGTTGAGCATTTTCGATGTTGGAAAAGGAGTTGGGCATGTGTTGGATATACTATCCCCAGAGCTCCCACCATGCATAGGGGCCACATGTCCCATCAACCCAAGTGGGTCTGGGCTCATGGTGGCATAGTATAAGCTGTTGTCTCCGGTTTTAGAAATACTGGTAGCAATTCCAGAATTAGTGATAGTGGCTGTGCCAATGGAGACACTTGGGTTGGCAATCAAAGGCTGCTTGGCACTTACAGTGGAACCAGCTGTGGAATCTGACAATGTCAAACCCATAGAGTCCTGTTTCATTGTGTTGCCAGCAGATGGCTGGGCTACTGCAGGAGAGCCTAGGTCCATGACATTTGCTGGGGCTACTACTAGCTTTCCCGGTTGAGAAGAGCTGTCATACCCATTCATATCTTTGGTCCCCAACTTAGGCAGAGTGCGAGCTACTGGGCCTGAGAGGTTGGAAGTCACAGTCAGTTTTCTGTCTGATTTTGTAGGTAAACTGGTCGAGATGTGGCTAGAGGCAATGCTGTCACCAGGTGGAGGCACTGTACAATGTGGGATATGGCTCTCAGAGGCAGGGGGAGGTGAAAAGCTGACTGCTTTGTTTGGAGGAGTGGTGTCCAGATCTTCAGTATTGGTATCAGTGGCAGGTGCTGAGGTGCCACCTGCTAAACTGTGAGCAGCTGTAGACCCCATGGGGGATGGGCTGAAGTAAACAGGAGCCTTGGGGAGAGAGGCTTTCTGCTGTTTGTCATGAGTTGTCCCAGATTTGGGAAGGGAGGTATGGGGGCTAATGGGACATTTCAAATATATGGGGGCCATATTGGGGGCCACCAGCTTGGGTAGGCTTTTGGGAACTGGCATTTTGGCAGCATGCTGCTAATGCACAATGAACTTGGGAAATGAGGGAGATCCCTCACTGGATCGTGGGTCAGATCTGAAAATAACAGCCAGTGAAGGGGAAGCAGTATCCGTGTCTGTGACATCATCTGCATCTAAAATAGGTTGCGCAGATAGAACGGCAGATTCCTTGCTGTCATGGTGGGAGGGGCAGCCATAGGAGTGGTGGGCTGGACAGCAGAAATAAGGGTCTAGGTAGAAGGGTCTGGGGAAGTGGAACGTAGGACAATGGAAAGGGGAGAATCTATAGACATAGGTGTTAGGGATTCATTTTTGCAGGCACGTGGCTGGAGAGAAGTTGAGGGGCTCTGAGGTACGGGGATGTCTGAAATACGAGATGTTGTAACTATGATTGAATTTGAAGTGCCTCCAGTATTAATCAACAGGATCTTCCAAACAGGATTACAACTATTTGGAATAAAATTATCAACAGCAACAGGAGGTGAATTAAAGACTGTGGCTCCTCTTATCAATATTTGCTATCTGAGGTGGAAGAAAAGACACAATCTGCAGCCTGACAGATTATGTCAGCCAGGACAGAAGTAGTATTGGGGACATGCATAGTGGGTAATAAGGAGACATTTGGGCAGAAGAAAGAAGAGGTAAGTTGAGTAGCACTACGGCCTAAAGTGACCTCTGTTTCACCCTCTGAGATTTGGATCAATTGACCCTCAATATTCTCCTGTGTGTCCAAGTTATTGGCCACAGCTAGACAGGGGAGCTTAGACAGTGAGGGCATCTCACCTCTGTCCCATAGAAGCTGCAGTGGCATGGGCAGTGAAAGTAGAAGTGGCATGGGCCTTTTCCATTTGCAGGCCCTACTGCTGGCAGATTCTGGTTATGTTGATTGGATCTCGTTGATTGGCTATCTGAAGACTTTTTGCCCTGTATCTCCTTCTGGGATATCGATGTAATTGGAGAGCTAGGCAGGTGGTCTTCAGCCAACTCTTCCTTTGTTGACATCTGTGGTGACAGGAAGCCACCTAGGGTTGGGTTAGAGAACACAGTGGCATCCTCTTCAGCCTTCTTGGGAGGCAGATCATCCCTAACAAGGTCTTTGGGGGAGCTCATGGAAGGCATCTGGGAGTTCTCAGTCGAGCTTTCTTCTGGGGGTGTGGGAAGGAGATCCAGAGATCCAGGGTTACATCTTCCAGAAGTGAGGACTCCATTGGTGATGGATGAAGATGCCAAAGGCATAGCCCCAATGTGATCATCCTCCTCCATGGTTTCTCTGGATTCCTCTTCCTCCTTTGTCATCTTAGGTTTTTCTTGGACCTTCACCTCAATATCCTCTGGGGAAGGACTTGGGGAGAGGTGCCTGGAGGATTCTGGTTTTTTAGTCTTGGGTTTTTGCTTAAGTGGTAAAGAAAAGAGAGTAAGTTTACCTCGTATTGGTGGTATACTTCTGGCTCTGCAGTGTCCAAACATCATAGAATTACGAGCAGACAGGACAGGCTTCTTTGGAGGGTTCCCAAGTGATGCCAGTGGGAGACTCCCCAAAGTGGAGCACAAAGCTGGTGGGATGGGATATTGCCTTCGGGGTGCTATATGGAAGCCAGTTGATAAAGGCAAATGCTGCCGGTTGAAGTGCCTGGGAGCCAGCGGGCTGGCAGGTGCCAGAGCCACTGGGTGGTCCTGACCCAGCGGAGCAGAATGGAAATTGGGCTGTATAGGTGGGCGGCTGCCAAGCAAAGGCCTGTGGTGGTACAGTGAGCGAGGCAGAGAACGAAATTTACAAACTAAATTGCCCATTGAGAGCTATTAGTGCGCCAAATGATCTGAGTATTAAGTAAGAAACTAGGAGAGCTTTCCCTAAGCTTCCGATTACCCTGGAGATCAAGCACGCACTGGCCACACTCCTTGGAAGTTGCAGAGAAAGTGCAGCAGGGGCTGACGTGAGCCAGGGGGCCATGTCATAGAGCAAAGAGCAATACCCCAATGCCCTGTCTCATCTTGGACTTTCCCAGCAGATTCAGGGGTTTGGCATCAGATGGGTCACTCTGTGGGAACTGTTGGGGACCCCAGAGATCCCATCTGCCAGAGTTCTCCCCTCCTGGACAGGGTTTTAGCATTCGGTGTCTCGGTTGCTTAGGCAGCTGCAGGCCCTTCCTCTCCTCCCTCAATGGTCCCTAAGGACAAAGCCTGCATTCCCCTCAGGCACTCCCCCCATTCTTTTCAGCAACCCCATACCCCTCCCACCACCATTCTGCCCAGTATCTCTGCACCACCACCTTCTCCATGGCCACTCAGGTGACCCTCATCACCAGGTTTCCCAGGGTGGGCTGTGGCAGTGCTATAACCTGATGGCCTGTGGTACCCCAGGACTGGACCCTGCACCCATCTCTCTTCCCCATAGGTGTGTTCTCTTGCCTTCTTTACATAAATTTGATAAAACAACATTTAAATTTTGACCTTCCTTAGGTCACACAGGTAGTAGTGGCTCAACCAAGATTTGAACCTAGCCTGTGGGATTCCAGAGTCCTGCTCTGGATGGTGGTCCCTCTTTATGGCATCATGAGTTACCTATTATTTTTTGCAGTAGTTTTTGGGGTATTTATACCTGCAATAAAAAGAGCACATGTACTCCCCAACTCCCACAGCGACCACAGT